CAGGAGGAGTCAATAGTAAAATATAGAACTTCAAGCGGAGATCTACAGTGCATTGGGAAAATGTACAAAAATGTTTATCGTAATTTCGCCATGTTTAGTCCGTACGTAGGCAAGGCCCCCGTTAATTCCTATCTAATATTCGTCAAATTGAAAAAAAAAAATTAAATGGACGCCGTTTTGTTCGCTAATCTGCTAAACCTGCACCGACGCAAACTACATTGACGCCGCCCATCGTCACAATTATATGTCATCGATGCAGTACTTGTTTGGGTGCTATCGTCGGGAACATCCCTACCATTGTCTTATGAACAGGACTTCCCCGCCCAGGCACGTCAGGAAAGATCTTCATGATCTAGAGAGAGAGGTCCAAAGGTACAAGCGTGAACCCCTAGATCCAGAAGCCTTTCAAGCAGGTCTGAATGGTATTCACACGGACGCGGTCGCTCAGGCAGTAGAGCAATATCGCGTGAATACCATAATTGGAGATAGAATGGTGCAACCGCCTCATTTAATATTGGGCAAGAATTGACAGCTCGATAACTAACACATGTCCTGCATGTGGACTAGGACCACACGACACGTTGCACCTCTTCAACTGCCCAGCTAAGCCGACTCATCTATCGCCGAATTCACTTTGGACGCAACTCGTTGCAGCATTCTTGAATTTGGAGGTAGAGGAAGCAGAACCAGACGATGAATGACAAACGACATGTATTCTGTTTCTACAACAACAACAAAATTGACGCCGGTCACTCAATAAGATCTCCCAGTCCAAACAAACAAAGAAACATGTCCCGAAATTTAGCTATTTGAAACAAATTGGCATTTTGAACATTTTAAACTGATTTTTTTTTTAATTTTGGAATATTTGCATATGTGCAAGATCTGCATTCATATGGATATCAGATTTCTGATCTTATAATTTGTTTCAGTGTGCAGTGTATAGTTCTTCCCTGCACCGACGCAAACTATATTGACGCCGGTCTCTCAACTCAATCTCCAATCCATTGCTACCGGTCAGCGACTTGACCTTGTTTCTATTCTAATAGCTTGACATTATCGTATGTCTCCGAAAAGTCAAGCGAAATAGGCCTGTACGACTCACCTCTGCCAGTATTCTTGCTAGGCTTCAATAACGAAATCAACCTTGTTTATATTCGAATAGCTTGACATTATCGAATGTCTCCGAAAAGTCAAGCGAAATAGGCCTGTACGACTCACCACTACCAGTATTCTTGCTAGGCTTCAATAACGAAATCAACCTGCCTACTTGTCTGGCTTTAGAAACTATGCAGGTTTTGGATTAATATAAGTTATTGGCCATGTTGATGCAATGTATGACAAAACTGGCCAAAATGTAAAAATTTATTAAGGGAAATAAATAATAATTAAAATTCTTCTAATTTGCATTTTCCTAGAATTGGGATATTATCCATGCATAATATATATATATATATATATATATCTATTATTTCCCATAAGTATTTTAATAATCAAATTTTACCCTTTTTGTTTTTTTACAGCTTTTGTAACTAAATCTCCGTTTTGACATCACTTTTCATCATAAACTGAAATAATAACAACAAAAACACCATCGAAACGAATACAAAAACAAAATAAATAAATAAAAAACTTAATAAATCAAAAACAAAAAATTACCAACAACAAAAAAATACTGCAAAAACCGAGAATTTAAAAACTTTAGCTCAAATCCAGAAACCCTACCACATTGGCGTTTTTTGGAGGACATTTTGAGGAAGTGGCTGGCGACTAATTCTGCTCCATAAATGTTTACACACAAAAACAGATAATATAAAACCAAAACCGGAATAATATAACTACAACAAAGTAACAGAAATATCCTACTTTTTTTTAAGAAATAAACAAAACGTGCGGACTGAATATAGATAGTTGGAAGAGCGAGTTACGACGGGGTATAGAAGGCAGGCAGTAAGCCCAGCAGGCAGGAGGAAGAAAGAAAAGTTTAAGCCAAGCTTAGCTTGAAAAACAAAAGAATTCAAAACTTCTAAAAAATAAAAAGATTCGGGAACTAAATTAAAAAAAGCAAAACACTTAGTGAAATTTTAGCAATAAAATTTAACCGTGAAAATACTCAGAATTTCTAAGAAATTCGAAATATTAAAAAAGACAAAACAAAACTCCAGCAGAGAAACTCATCTGTCCACACAACAACAAAATACCAAAAATCATTTGAGCAAAAAGAAATTGGAAATATTAAATTTGGAAAATTGCTTGCCAAAAACTCAATAAAACATAGAACCGGGGGCGGATTGTCCTTTTCGAAAAAGCCAAAACGGGAAGTCAACAGCAACAACAGAAACCAGCCATAAACTACGGACGGAGCATTGAGCAAAAACAACACAGAAGAAAAAATTACAACAGCAACAAAATAAAATAACAACCACAGCCTTAATAAACACACACAATACAAAAGGACAACATTCAAATACCTATAAAATTTCCGGAGCTCGAATACAAAAATTCACTCTTAAATTATTTTTTTGTTTTTTTTTTCATTTTGGAAAAATTCCTTATTTCAAGCTTTCAAACATAGCTTAAGTTTTAGTTTTTACATCTCTCTCAACCCTTGTCATAAAAAGCAAAATACCGAAAATTCCCTACACGCTTTAATTCTGTTTAACTTCGAAATCCAACACAACAAACCACGCCCCAAAACCAACAACAGCAACAATATTAATAATTTAAAATAACAAAAACAACAACAAAAAGGCAACAACAACAACTACCAACAACTGAAAAGAAAGTTTTAAAGTACAAATAAAACGAAAAAGTTAAATTTAAAACGCAACATAAAAAACAAACTTTAAACTAAACTAAAAAAACAGAAAATATACTGAATTTAAAAACGAAAAAAAAAAACAAAATAATTAAGATTTTTATTATTGTACAAAGTATTAAGCAAAGAAAAACACATATTTAGTTTAGAAAAAAAAAAAAAAAACATTATAAGAGGCATAACAGAAGAATAAGGAAAGCGTGAAACCCAGCCAGCAACAAGGAAACCAAAGGCTTTTTAAGCCTAGCTAAAGCCTTGCACCCCGAACAGTTAAGGGAACTATGGCTTTTGGTGGTGGCTTGCAAATAAAAACTTTCTAAGGCAACAAACAAACAAACCAACAACAGAATAACGGAAACAATAAATAAAACTATTTAATTTCTAAAAATAATGTAAAAAACAAGAACAACAAAACACTAATCAAATTAATTTAAAACTAAGACATTTTTACATTTAATTATTTTTTCGTATTACAAAAAATAAAAAAAAAAAAACAAAATATATTCCAAACCTAAAGAACAAAAAAAGTCATAATTATTAAAAACAATACAACACATATAAACAAAAAAACAAAAAAATCTCATCAGTGTGAAGATAAAAAAATCCAAAATTTTAAGTGGACTTAATTTTAAGTGATCTCGTCGAACTGTAAATCTTTTTGGGGAAGATACCTTTTTTAAAAAAAGGAATCACTACTCAACAAAAACAACAACAAAGAAATCCTCCACAACTTCAAAATCAACAATAAACATTATCATCATCATCAGCAGCAACAAGAACAAATACTACTACATTATTATCATTGTCGTCAACAATTAAAAAAGAAAAAAAAACAAAAAAATCAAGGAGAACTTAAAAAAACTCAAGAGGGAGGGAGTTGCATACACCACTCTCTCTCTCCGTAACGCATATAAGAGTACCTAAGGTGAATTCATTTAAAGTCTTAAGGAGCAACAACACAACTCTAAAAAAAATCAACCAACAAATTCAAAGAAAAGATTAAAACATCTCTGTGATAATTATTGTAAATTTATAAACTTATTAATTAAAGGAATCTTTAGAAATGCAAATTTAAAAACCAACAAAAATCCTCTTATTAATAAAAGAAAAACAAAATACAACAACTACACAAATGAAGATAAATTTATAAGAAAAAAAGGAAAAACTGCAACAAAATAAAAAAAAATAAATTTAGTCGAAAAAACATAGTCTTTTAAGGAACAAAAAAAAAAGGAAAAACTTAAAAAAGATAATGAAACATTGAAACAAATTCGTGATATCTTAAAGGACTTCGATACATATACTATAGTATATATTATATATTTAAAAAAAATCCAAATAATTGTAATAAGCAAAAATTAAAATAATAATAAAAAACAAAACAAAAAATCTATAAGTTATAAGCTTATAAGAAAAACAAAACAAAAAAAGTAAAGTAAATAAAGCAGCATCTTATATAGATTGAAAAACAAAGTCTTAAAGGTAATAAAAGACTTTATAAAAATTAAAAAAACCTATAATAATTGTATTAAAAACAAGTAACAAAAAAGTTCTTCTAGTTATAATAATGGAAACATACAACAAAACTCCTTAAGTGTTTTTTAACACAGGACCACGCCAAAAATACTACTAAAAAATTATGAAATTTAAAATATAATAAAAACAAAAACAATACTTCTCAAATTCTCAAATTTTTAAGTATTTTTAAACTTGCATCTGATCCCAAAGATTTTTTAAAACAATAAATCTCTGTGTATTAATTTCAAAAATTAATCAAAAACAAATATCGCAACAAACAAAAAACAACACAACCCTCTAAAACAAGCAATAAAAAAATAAAACCGTTAAAACTCCGCGAATCATAAAAAAATATTGGGCATTTCTCCCACCCTTACTTCCTCATAATAAAAAAAAACAAATCAGTGCCTACTTATAAAAAACATCGTTAAAGAAAAAACAAAGCCCAGAATTGAAATCAAACTAGACACGAAAAGAAAAAGTATTCCATTTTGTATACCCAACCCACCCCAATACATCCCCCTTTTTAAAACTTGCGAGTATTAATTTTTGTGTTTAACCCGCGCCACACATTCGATTTTTGTTTTGGTACACCTGCCGCCGCCCACCACTTGCTGCTGCACAGTATTCTTCTTCGTTCTCTGTTTTGAATTTGAAATTTTGTACTGGTCACAATGAATACTCAATCAAAAGGATATCGTGGTGAAGGTAAGTTATTTCTATTTTTTCAATTATATTGTTATTGTGTTCACTATTGTTTTTTTTAAATTATTTCTTTTAGTCATATCAATGGTTAGGATGCATATGTTTGTAATAGGCAAAAGGAAACAATATAGGAAAATCCAGAGTCCATAGTTAGATATAGCTCTCATATATATGTTCGTCCGATTTTATGTAAATGGCGCACAGCGAACGTAATTGAATCTAGAATGATGTGTGCTAAATTTTAAGAAAATCGAGTCAGATTTAATTATAGCTCCCATATATACATTTTCCTCCGATTTATGTAAATAGTGTATCAACGCCACAATATTTCTTTCGATTTGCAGGAAATTTGGCATAGCGTACGAAATTGAGTTTTGTATGATGATGCTAAGTTCCATGAAAATCGGCTCAGATTTAGATGTAGCTCATCGGTCCCTCTTTTCTTGTACCTCCCCCCAACAAAGGGTTAACATTTCAAAAACTTTGTATTTCAAAAACTTGTAAATTTAATTGAATCTTGAATTTTATCCATTGATTGCTCATCGTAATATTTTACCAAACCTACATTACATCCGAAGATGTGGTCTATAGGGTAACTCCTCTGGTATCTCCCCACAGATGGAGAATAATAAAATCTATATGTAATTCCGTCGACTTCCGCAAACCACAACCTGATGGTATATATCTGTCGACAACACCGCCGGACACTTTTTTTAGCTAAATTAGCTACGCTATGGTAAATTTCGACTCAAACAGACAAATGCAGGGTCTTTGGTGCACGTTCAACAAACCCTATAATTGTGAGAACGTGAGTACTTTCGTACTCATAGTATTCATGGTGACGAACTTTAAAAATTTAAATATATTTTTGCCAGACCCCTACTCAGATTTTCATTTCGAAATCAAATTTTATTTTAATTCCAATTTCTATTCGACATTTTCTGAATAACAATGAAAATAGTGTAAAATTTTCGTTTGTCTTCTTCTATATATGTGTTGTTGTTTTTAATTTAGCACGCGTAAATTCTTTCTTTTTTAAAATTCATTTATTGAATTCATCAGGGTGTTGATTAAAAATTAAGGTATTTAAATAAAAATCGCATAGAAATTCGGTATATTACGGTATATTTTTCGTCATCTCATTTTGTGTGGAATTTGTTTTTCGTTTCATGTTTTCAGAAATCTATGAAAATCTTCCATGTGATGGATGGATGAACATGAATGCCATGCGTAATATGAGTATTTCGAATAATTTCCCACCAATTGGAACATTTTCCTTGGAAACGGCATTGGGTACACCCCAAACTCCGCAACCACCACCACCGCAACATCATCAAGCTCATCAACAGCAGCAGCAGAATCATCATCAGCAGCAGCAACAACATGCCGCCACGCATCACCATCAATCGCAGGGACCGCCACCATTGACTCAACATCCACCCATTGGTATTTTCGATGCCAACGACGTTCCCGAAATCATACAAAATCCGGCCACCGTTGGTGTTTTTCAATCGAATAGTGTCTTGAGCAATGGCGGTGGTTCGAGTTTCGGTCAATCCAACTCATCGTCGTCGGCTGCCAATGATCCAAGTCAGACAACTCGTGAGACTGGCATCATAGAGAAGTTATTGGTAGGCTTCCAGATTTCAGGATATAACACTTAAAGAAATATTAAATAAAAATTATTATCTTGTTGTTGTTTTTTTAGCATTCTTATGGTTTTATACAGTGTTGCGAGCGTCAGGCTCGTTTATTCTTTCATTTTTCTCAATTCAGTGGCAATATTGATCATTTGAAAATTGGCGATCCGGTTGAGTTTGAAATGACCTATGATCGTCGTACTGGTAAACCAATTGCTAGTCAAGTGTCTAAAATTGCACCCGAAGTGGTGAGTAAAAATCAAACGCACACATACAGACAGATACCTTTGTATTATATACAAAAAATATTGACTCAATTGTTAATTTTAATTTTCGTTTTATAGGTCCTTTCGGAGGAGCGTGTCACAGGAACTGTTACCACAGAACTACGCACTGATAACAACAACATTTTAAATTCGAGCGAAACGACTGGTCGCATCAGTTATGAAAATCGCGGAGAGTGCTTCTTCTTGCCCTATACCAAAGATGATGTTGAGGGTAATGTTAATTTGAGGGCTGGTGACAAAGTTAGCTTTCAGATAGCTACCAACCAAAGGTGAGTGAAGAGGAGTCATGGTCTATCAGCAAAACAAATATTTATTTTCTTGTTGTTGTTGATGTTTGTAGAGGAAATTTGGGTGCTTGTCACATTCGTTTGGAGAATCCAGCACAGCCGGTTAAATATCGCGGCGTTGTTTGTTCCATGAAGGAATCATTCGGGTTTATTGAACGCGCCGATGTTGTTAAAGAGATTTTCTTTCATTTCTCTGAAGCCGAAGGTAATGTTGAACTACGTCCAGGCGATGACGTTGAGTTTACCATTCAGACACGTACTGTAAGTGTTTGGTTATAAAATATTGGTAATAACACAGATTTTGTAACACCGAGAGTTGTTTTTTTTTAAGGGACGTGAATATGCCTGTAACATAACACGTTTACCACCTGGCTCGGTAATATTTGAGGATGTTGATACAACCATCTATAAGGGTCAGGTCTTGAAGCCGTTGGATCGTGCAAATGCTGCACGCCAAACCAATGATCCATTGCCAGGACGCATACGTTACAGGGCTCCAGATTATTCTGAAGTTGAAGTACCATTTGGTGACAAGGATCAGGTATGTAATAACATTTTTGGTTTGTACCCTATCGCACCACATTAATTTAATCAAGTGATGTTTTGAAGATATAAGACAACTAAAGGCATTCTATAGGGTCATTCTGTTGAAGGAAGAATTTGCAGAATGTCTTCTGCAACATTCGAACAACATTTATTTTATCATTTTCAATATACAAATTAGAAAGGAAAGAAACAATTTTTCATTTTGTATGTGTGTACGTTTTTTTAGAAGGGCGATTTTACTTTGCGTCATGGTGATTGGGTACAATTTTTATTGGCCACCGATCGTCGCGATCAATTGCAACGCGCCACTTCCATTTCATTGCTTGACGAAACATTTAAAGTGTCCGGCGAGAAGCGAGAACAAGGTGTGATTTCTGGTTTAAAAGAAGGATTTGGTTTCATTCGAAGTGTCGAACGCAATGTTCGAGTATTTTTCCATTATACTGAAATTCTGGATACGGTATGTATGAAGGCAGGCGGCCGTAAAAATATGTAAATCAGGGGCGTGTTTTGCAATATTTCAAAAATGTATATTTTCAGAGCCGTGAAATAATGGTCAACGATGAATTGGAATTTACTGTGGTTCAGGAACAAGGAATTCCCTATAATGCATCACGTTTACATGCTATACGCATTAAGCATTTACCACCCGGTACTGTGCAATTTGAAACTTTAGTGGCTAACAATATAGAGGGTAAGTATTTTTTTTAATTGCACTCCATCTAGAAATGTCGGAGACTATTAATTATTTACATTGCAATTTACCAAACATATCAGTCAATTTTAGAGCTGGTACAATGAATTCCCATTAACATGTATATTTTTTTGTTTATTATTGTAGGTTATGTTACCCGCGAGGCTCCTAAGAGTCCAGTGAAATCTCAAGACCGCGTTGAAGGCGGCGTTATTACCTATGACCATGGTGAACTTAAAAAGACTATTATGTATTTCCTTAAAGACTGCGAAAAACCACCTAGAATTGGAGACCGTGTACGTTTTGATATTTACTTGGTACGTTGCCATTCGCACGTCGTCTTATTTGCTCCTGCAAATTATTATTTCACAGAATTAGAAATAATTTTTAAAAATGTGTGTGTTTCTTTCTTTCACTAGGTAAAAAGAAATAAAGAATTGATTGCTGTGAATGTACAGAATTTGCATACATTGCAATCAGGCGGCATGCAACCAGCGGCCATTATTCAGCAGCAACAACAACAGCAGCAGCCGCCACAAATAATTAATCCACAAATATTGCAACAACAATTGGCAACTAATACAACGAATCCACAAAATCCCCAGCAACATCAAGTACCACAACAACAAGCACCACCACCACAAGCAGCTGTAGCAGCTCTACACCATCCCCATCATCCACATCCACATCTTATTCTAAATCAAAATAATGATCCAGCCATAATAACCCAGCACACCAATGGCATCATGGGAGGCATTGGAGGCGGCGGTGGCATGATAATACCCACGCAAAATGGTTACCTATCCATGGGCACCAACAATCATCAAATGCTTCAAACTCCAAAGATTGAAGACTACAATAAGTTGGAGAACAATAATTTGGCTGGCACTGAGACGGGACAGCCAGTCTATAGGGGTTTCATAGCCGTTATCAAGGAGAATTTCGGTTTCATTGAAACATTGTCGCACGACGAGGAGGTGTTCTTCCATTTCAGTAATTATGTGGGCAATCCCAATTGGTTGGAATTGGGTCAAGAGGTTGAGTATACGCTGTCGCCAAATGGTAATACCTCCGTATCGGGCAATTGTTTGCCAGCGGAAAATGTACGCACCCTACCGAAAGGCTCCATACCACAGCCGGCTGTAAAGGAGGGAGTTCATAACGGTGTCGTTGCACGTCCACTGCGTTGCATTAACCCCGATCAACAGGAATATGCTGGTCTCATTGAAATCTTAGATGAGTCTAGAACTCAAGTACTGTCTCAACACGAGTTCGGTATTACCAGTTTGGTTAACAAACGTGACCTATTGCAAGCCGGCGATCTGGTGACATTTAAAATCGACGAAGCTGGTCGTGCTGCTGAAATTACTGCTGTACGCCAAAAGAAACGTGCCACAGTTGATTCCATCAAGGGTCAATTTGGTTTTCTTAATTACGAAATAGAAGATGGCAAGAAATTGTTCTTCCATATGTCGGAGGTACAGGGTAATGCTGTATCATTACATCCAGGGGATACAGTTGAATTCTCTGTGGTTACAAATCAGGTTGGTGAAAGGGTTCTCTCTTTTGTTGGAAAAAATGTGTTATTGTTTTTCTATTTCTTTGCAGCGCAATGGCAAATCGTCAGCCTGCAATGTTTTAAAAATAAACGATCGTCCAGATCGTTTAATTTCGCGACTCAAATTGACAGATGATACATTGCCCCGTTTGATTGTTATTCGGGCACCGAAAGGACCCCAGCCTAAAGGTTTTCTGCCACAGGCACGTTTACCACGCATTCCAGGTAAAATTAATTTACTTTTTTTAATTTTTAATTTAACAAAAGAAGACACATTTGTCCAATATAAAACATACTTTTGTTTTATTTTCGTTTCTATTAGGTATAATCTTGGAATAAATGTTTGACCGACCGTACTAAAATCGAAGGATTCAACGACTGAAGACAAGTTCCCACAACATTTATTTAAAAAAAAAAAACAAAACAAAAAGCCATCATTACAACAACAAATTACACTGCTATACTCTATATATATATTTAAATATTAAAGAAAAAACAAATGAATCACTGCTAAACAACAAAAATAAAAAATACATAATACGAGTATAAAATAAATGAATCTTATCATATATCCTATCCAATTTATTATATACTACTATAAAGAATGATGAAACATATAAAATATATAAGAAGACAGAAGAGAAAATTATGAAGAAACAACAAATGCAAATTGTGTCTCACAACACTTTATTTCTTATATGAAGTTAAAACAATAAAAGCAAAACAAAATATTATAAAGTAACCGGGAAGAAGAAAAAAAAATAGAAATAATGCAAAAGAAATAATTATTATGAATAGAATTTGAGTATTTATTAAAAAAAAAAAAAACACAAACAACAACAAAAATATATGCGTAATTTAATAAACAAAATACAATACAATAAACCAAGAACAAAATTTAAACAACAAACAAAAAAATCACGTATACATATACAAAATAAAAATGGAAAAAATAAAAAGAAATAAAATAATAAAAGAAAGATATATCGTAACGAAACAACAACCATTATCTTTATTATTAACTTAAACCCACACACACACTCACACGCAACATACCACAAGAAACTAACAAACACACCACATACAATCTCTAAAATCCATACATACGAGTACATACACCAACACACACAACAAGAAGTAAAACACACAAATTAACAAAACTTATGAACATCGATCGATATGATACCATACGATACAATTTTACTATATACATATATGAAATGAAAATTATAAAACAAAAAAGAAAAAAACAAATATATACATGAAACAAAAATAATAATTATATACATAATAGGAGTAACGAAAAAAAACACGACAAGAAAAATAATACATATGCTATTTTTTGCTTTATTATCTTACAAACAACAACAAGAAGACAAATTCAAACCAGTGTGTGTGTTTTCGTTAAAATTTCCAACCATATAACAGATGCGAAACTATGTGGAAGTAGAGAACGATTTTTGAATCCATAGAAACCAGTAAGAGCCGAAGAAATCTAAGGTAAATTAAATAACAGTAATAATAATAATTTTTTATACATCTGCAAAAAAAAATCTCCTCAAAGGATCTTAAAAAATGAGCAAACCTTTCAAACGGTATTTTAGAAATAGGACGAATTTTGAAGGTGCATTTTCACTATCTTTTAAAAATTTGAGGGTCTTTTATAATAAGAAAACCTCCATAAAGTATTCTGTAATTAGTAGATATTCCAGAAGTTTTCTATATATAGAAGACGTTCAAGGTGTTTGAACGGGTTATCTAGTGTTAGAAAACATTCAGGGGTATTCTATAGGCCGGAGACCTCCAAGGTGTCCTCTACAGTTAAAAAACCTTCAAAAGGTCTTGCATAGTCTGAAAACCTTGAAGAGGTTTTCTATAGTTGGAAGATCGTCAAGGGAGCCTCTATAGTTAAGCAGGAGAACTTCTCTTAGACACTACTTTGAACAGGTCTTCTACAGTTGGAAGATATTTAATGTCCTTATTTGATTTAACTAATCTTGGGCCTTATGGCAATTTTTCTGCCTGTTAGCGATGGTCTCGACTGCATAGTACCGTATTATATGTGGCTAACCCCAAGTTGTTCAATTGATTTTAGAACCAATGTCTAAAAACATGGAACATAGACAATAATTACAATTTCCCTAATTCGAAACCAACCGAAGATTTGGTTGTTTTATTTTTCTCGAAAATACGCTGCTGGTTGCTGGTGGTGAATAAAATAAAATCTAATAGAAATTATAGATGTTGAGACAAGACGGTAAATTACAATGCAAACTTACAATAACTGATGACAAAAATAACAACTACAACAACATGAATATATACCGTAAAACAGTGGCAGCAATAAATGGAAACTTAAAAAATACGAAAACAGAAATACACAACTATCAAGAAAACAAAAAAAAAAACGAAATAGGATAACATTTTCGCTTACTACTCTACTACTACAACAACAAGAATAACAACAAATGAAAGGAACAATACATAATAAAATATATAGCAAAAACAAGAACAAATATATATATATAGTTTTTAAATAAGTGACAAAACTAAATGGAAAAAAAGAAAGAAGGACTACAACAACAAAACCAAAGTAAAATGAAAACAAAAAATAAGAAACTAAAACTCATTTCGCCAATACAAATGCATTTTTCATACATATACTCAACAAGACACGACGACATACACACGAAAAACATTTCGAAAAACTTACGTGCATACATATACAAAAAATATATACATACATAATATAGGAACTCCTATTTTTTTTAGAAATTCCTTGAATTGTTTTTTCTTTAAATGGTAAATATTTTCAAATAAATTTCAAAAATAAAAAAATCTAAATTCTAATTGGGATCAGAAACACTTCTTAAATACTTTTTTTATTCCCAAATTCATAATTTTTTATTAAAAAAAATGTTTAAAAATTCTTTTTTCCATTTCAATTATAATTAAAGTAAGAAAACCATAAAAACAAAGCAGTAAAAATAACTTCAATGCAATTTTAAATAAAGAAAAATTAGACAGAAACAACAACCAGCAACAACAAAAAAATCTATATTAATAAATAAAGTAAAGGATGATAAACATAACCTTAAAACAGCAACAATATATACGGCTTGATGGAATACAAAACAAAACAGACAGGCAGAAACAAAAGTAATAAAAATAGAAAACCATACAAGATTGAAAAAAAACAAAAAACGATTACAACAAAGAAACAAACAGAAAAGAAACACAAACAACAATTGCGATCTTATAACATATAAGTAACCAAAAAAAAAAAAAAAACAAAAAATAAATATTAATAAAAATATTATTTAATTACCAAAAAGTGAGTTTTATTTTCGAAAACCAGATTTTTGCCTCACTTAATGTCAACATTAGTACATTTTGTGAATTTGTTGAATACTGTGACTATGCGAATATAGACTGGAATGGATTTTTTAGCTAAATGTTGCTGATGTGGATCTTAAATATTCTCTGCTATCTTCTATTATTGTCGATTTGTTTGCCTTTGTCCCCATAGTACGTAGGAAAATTCGTCCGGATGATAATTGGATTAGAACGAATACTGTTTGGCTCGATCTCTTCGTGATATGGCTTATTGTTCTTACCAACAAAACAAAAATGCAGATAGTTGGAAGATATATTGTAAGTACAGGAATAAAGCTAAGTCCGTTATTATTACAGGTGATGATGGCATGGAATGTAATATTGATGTCGATGTTATGAATTCTTATTTTGTTTTCCACAATCGCAGTACCAACGATTTTGATGATTTGTTCATCGATAATTCCGATAATGGTTTTTCCTTTTGTGCTGTTTATGTTGAATACATTGTTGTGGCTCTAAACAAAATTATGTCTAAATCCATTGGTGTAGATGGAATACCTACTGATTTTTTGAAACTTGTTTTTCCATATATTTCTGATTACGTTCTTGATTTGATTAATTCTGTGTTAATAACTTCTGTATTTCCTTTGACATGGAAGAATGCTCGTGTGGTCCCTATACCGAAGGTTAGTGTTGTTCGTTGCTCTGAAGATCTCAGGCCTATTTCTATTCTCCCTGTGTTGTCTAAATTTGTTTCATTTAATGGAAAATCATCTGCAATTCTCCCACTTACATGTGGTGTTCCACAAGGCTCTGTTTTGGGTCCATTGCTTTTTTTTCTTTACGTCAATAATATTGCCGATTGTGTTTGTAATGTGAACTGTAAACCGCTTTTATTTGCTGATGATATATTTCTTATATTTAGTGATGACAGGAGTTCTCCGTTCCATTTTGAAACTTCAATAAATCATAGTCTTGCTCTGATTAAGCAGTGGTGTCTAGAAAATTCACTGATATTGAATCCTGCCAAGACTAAAACCATTGCATTCGGCAATTTGACACAGAGAGTGAACATCTTTCTTGATCAAAATCCAATAGACTTTGTAGACTGTTTTAAAATGTTGGGCATATTTGTGGATAATAAACTTAGTTTTGATACTCATGTTGACTTTGTCCAGTCGAAACGTATTGTAAACTCCATTGTGCGTTATATTTATGGTATTAAACGTCGCGAACATGTTTCGGGCTATGTTGTGAGTTTCTATTCATTCAGAATAAGGAGAGAATGTGACAGCGAAAAATGTTTACATGAGAGATATCTCCCTAGTGAATATCCAGAATAAGGCTGATTATCGTATAATGCAATCAGAACTTTGGGAGGACCCTTAGTAGGTATATAAAAACGAACAAAATAAAAAAAAACACTTTTTATTTGAATTTTTATGGAATATATATTTATTTGTAATTTGTTGTTGTCACTTAAAAGAATAATTGCATTTGCTTATATAAGTAAGTTTAATGTTTGTTTTTTTAGTTTGTTTGTTGTTTTTTCGATATATATTTGTTTGTGTTGTTTTTGTTCTTCAGAAGCTGGTTTGTTTATTTTTTTGTTCTATGATTCGATTGAGTGTGTTTTAATTTCTATTTATTAGATTTTTTATACCTTTTTTAATTTTGTTATATTTTATTTGTTGATTTTTGTCTCATCCCTTTTGTTTTGTTAATTTTTTTTTTTTTTGTTTACATTTCTGCAAATTCAAATATATAGATAGTGTGTGATTGTTGTGAGTGTGGCGGCTCTCTCTCGATCTGTTTAACTTGTTATGCTTTGTTTTCATTTAATAATAATAATCATAATTAATTAATATATGTATTTGTTTGTGTATATAGTACGCACTATAGTCTAGTACCACCTAGTTTTTTTGTCCATTCATTTGTTTGGTTGTAGTGATGAGGAGACAGACAGATAGTGGAGTATAAACTAATCGATGATAAATGACAGTAATAATAATGGTAATGACAACGATGATGATGATGGTGGCTATACTGATCATGACTATGGAAATACAGATTATGTTTAAATGTTAGTATATT